GCATCTTTATTGGGTGAGACAAAGTAGCAAATATAATAAAATTGACCAGCCTGAAGTGGACAGTTTGACTCCAATGGACGGCCCGTCCGCTCTGACGGGAGCTGAGATCAGAGAATGCTCCTGTCGGCTTCAAATCACGTGGTGTCAGCGTACCAGCATCCTGGGTGGTGTCACCATGGCAAGCGAAGGCAGTGTCCGGTGTTGGCTTCAGCTGGGAGCATATTGCGCAAAGTTGCGCTTTGCCAAGTCTCTGGTAACCCTGGCTGGCAACTGGCAACTGCGCGAAAACATGTAGTCTTGGTAACCCTACATATGCTCCCAGCTGAAGCCAACGCCGGACACTGCCTTCGCTTGCCATGGTGACACCACCCAGGACGCTGGTACGCTGACACCACGTGATTTGAAGTCGACAGGAGCATTCTCTGATCTCGGCTCCCCTCAGAGCGGACGGGCCGTCCATTGGAGTCAAACTGTCCACTTCAGGCTGGTCATTTTTATTATATTTGCTACTTTGTCTCACCCAATAAACATGCACCTTCACTAAGGTGCTTGTCTGAGAGCATTTTCCACAGCGCCCTTTTTTTTCCAGTGGTTTTCAAAGTCTACAGATGACCTCAGTGTAATATTACAAAGCCAAACTAAGTATACTGCTAATAATAAAATTCTACATTTTCCTGTCCGGGTGACAAATGTATGTAGTGTGGAATCAATGCTAGCAACTCAAAGGCCTTGACTCTAATAACTCAATAAAACGGCTACAAATAAAAGATAACAAATGACCCAGTGTTTTTCTTCACTATGGCGCAATGTTTAATCTGTGGAGCACACGCTGCCTTTATTGATTAGGTGTAGTCATGATGTGACTGTATTTCCATATAATGCTTGGAATATTGTGTTAGGTCTTTATTGTTGCTGGTGCCCAGGGATTTATTCTCATTTATGGAGTAGTCATTCTCTTCTGGCCAGAAAAGTTCTTTATTCTGTATTTGAAAACCATGGTAATCTCGTTCTTAAACTTAACATGATCACATCTTTACAGGCCATTGTTTGTATACTTTTTTTTAATAATTTGGTTTCTAGAAGATATTTAATATAAAACTGCAGTACATTTGTTATTATTGTAATTGTTTACTGAAAGTAGTTTGAAGTTACTTATATTTCCACTTGATTAACATTTTATATTTTTGATTATTTTATTTAAAACCCCCTATAGTCATCTAAATAGCAGGGAATTTGATTATTATGCTTGCTTAAAAAAGGCAGTCAGTGACCCTATGTGAGCATCTGACATGGAACTTACGTAAGTTTGATGCCTGGGGCAAGAAAGCTCTATTGCAAGTATAGTGCTTACCCCCAAAGGAGCTGCTAATGTTCGGTCCCCTGGTTTTGGATTCTGCTGATCACATGGCTTTGTCTTTTTTGTAAACCTTTTTGTGTATGTTTTTTGTTAGTGTTTGAAATTGATGAAACAATAATGAGCCCACACCAATACATTGATATCAATCAGTAGTGAAATAAAAGAAAAAGTTTACAAAATAAATTTCTGGCCCTTCAAATTCTTTTTTTTTTTGCTTAATTTTTTGTGTAGTTTCTCAGGTTTAAAAGTTTTTAGACAATAGGAAAAAACATGCAAAAATAAGAACTTATAAAGCATGTAGCACTACACACAAGGATGTACTGTGCTAAAAAGTTCCCTTGCACCTTAATTCCTATTGACTATTAAACCTCAAATAGCAGTGAAATACACAAGCAAATATGTGAAAGAAACACAAAGAAAAGGACTTAGGTGTTACATTTTTTGGTTATTTATTGTTGCTATTTTTTGTGTGATCATGATCATAGATGGTGTTTAAAAAAAAAAATTAAAGCAGAACTTTACTCATAACAACTTGATAAAAAATAATGTTCTTTAACAAGGAACATACATTTCACATTAATAATTATGCTACCAAAATGAGTGTGTGCTGTAAATTGCCTCCAGCATTATTCCTGTTTCTTCTTGTTGGAGGCTACAATTTTGCTGAAGCCCAGAGCCCTTGAGCAGCAATAAATCTTTAGGTTGTCAGCAGATTGGCCTCTACATTTTCAGCACAGTGCCAAATAATAGAGAGCAACTGAGCATGTGCAGAGCAGAGTGAGGCAGCGTGTTACTGATTTTCACCCCTTCAGGTCTGCAAGATTTTACCCGCTTTACGACCAGGCAAATGTTTGCTATTCGGCACTGCGCTACTTTAACTAGCAATTGCACAGTCATACAATGCTGTATACAAAGGATATTTGTATGATTTTATTTCACACAAATAGAACTTTGTTTTGGTGGTATTTGATCACCACTGGGTTTTTTATTATATACATGAAAAAAGACTGAACAATAAAAAATATTTTCTCTTTTCTGTTATAAAACATATCTAATACAAAACTTTGGTTAGACTTACCGGTGACAATATATCTGACAGCCTTTCAGGACAGCACCTGTAGATAGACCAGCTCAACCTAGATTCCCAGGAAACACTACAGCAAGATTTTAAAAGGATAACTTCTTCCACCATGCCTTCAGTTTAAAGTAAAATCTGACATGCTGGAAAACAAAAAACAAAACAGGAAACAACCATATTAAAACAACACAATCATAAAACATCATCCAGGAAGGACTGTTGCTGCTGTCCTGAAAGGCTCTTAGAAATACCTTTACTGGTAAGTCTAACTAAAGATTTCCCCAATTGCCTTTCAGGACAGCACCTGGAGAAGATAATCGGGAAACTTATGCTAGGGTTGGACCGCTACCTGCAGCACCTTCCTGCCAAAGGACTGGTCAGCAGCTGACAATAGGTCCAATCTATAATCATGTATAAAAGTAAAGAAACTAGACCGGGTGGCTGCTTTGCATATCTGCTCTGGAGATGCACCAACCCTTTCAGTCCAGGATGCCGCCACTGATCTTGTAGAATGAGCTGCAATCCCTAACGGAGGTTCCGCATAGGCCTCCATGATGACCAATTGATCTACCTTCCCAAAGTACTTTTGGAGGCTCTCTCTATCTTGTGAGATCCAGAAAAGAAGACAAAGAGTTTGACTTCCTGAAGTTTTTGTTTTTTTCCAGATATCGTAAGAGACATTTAATGTGTGAAAAGCTTCTTCCCCTTGGTTAGCTGGAGCTGCACAAAAGGTAGGTAGGTAGTGTGATGAAAGGATGAACAGATCTTTGGAAGAAAACCTGGGTTCATTCCGAGGACTATCTGGTTCAGAGATTAACAGGGCCTGAATTTCACTTCTCTTCAGGCTGAAGAAAACACAACTAGAAAAATGATTTTTAGAACTAAAAACTTCAACAAGGCTTCTTCTAAGGGCTCAAACAGACCTTGCATGAGACCCTGTAACGCAAAGGATAAATCTAATTTGAGAAAAACGTTAAGGTATACAGGCCTGTTCTTTGCCAAGGCCCTCAAAAATCTAACAACCAGAGGTTCACAAAATAACATTCTCTCACAGAAAACTGACAATGCTGCCATTGAGTCTTGAGGGTACTTGTAGCTAAACCCTTCTCCATTCTTTCAATGTGAAACTCTAAAATGGAAATGATCATCTCTAACTGAAGACCCTTGGATGAACACCAGGTATAATAGCATTTCACACTTTCAGCTATATTGTTCTGGTCACATTCTTCCTACTTGAAAGGAGGATGGCTATGAGTTTGTCAGACAGCCCCTTTGCTCTTAAGAGATCTTCTTCAGAAAAAAGGCTGTTAATTTTAGTTGTTCTGTCTCTGGATGATGCAGGGGCTCTTGGAACAGAAAACCCCCCATGGGGGTTTCGTGGACAGATTTAGGAGTATCGAAAACCAAGGCCTTTTAGGCCAGAAGGGGGTAATTAAGAATGGAAAAGAATGCTGGCTTTTTTGCATTTTGCTGACTTGCAAACAGATCGACCTGGGGTACTCCCCAGGATTCTGTGATCATCCAGAAAAAATCTTTTACTTCATCCAGGCCCTGACACATTTTGTCATGAATGGACAACTGCACTTTCTCCTCTTGTATTTCGAGAGTAGTGTAAATCGCTTTAAGAAGATCATCCACCTCCTCCAAAGACAGCTTATATCTGGATGATTTGGCAACTTTTTCTTCTCTCTCTTCCTCATCAGAATCTTTGAGGTAAGGAAGGGTACCTTCTCTCACACCTCCTCTGGGCCACTAGCCTTGTTAAGGTTTGAGGTGGACAATAGAGGGCTGGCCTTCCTGAGAATCTGACTGAAGCCCTGGCACTTTATCCTACAAAGAGCGAAAAGACCCCAGTGTCTCTTGACTGAAGAAAACAACTCCTTGCATTGCAACAAGGACTCCTCTTTAACTAAATCTTCAATACAAGTTTTGCACAAGGGCGTTCCTGCAGGAGGGACATTTCCTTTTAACTGAAGGGGCTCTTTTGGTCTTAACCATAGCTTTAGCCTAGAAATAAAACACAAATACACATGATGTATGAAAATTCATATTACCACATCAAAAATGCTTTGCATTGCACTGCCATGCATAATGAAAATGTGTGTCAATGCGCAACAACAGACATTAAACAATCCACTAAAAAATGGACAAAAGCAAACACAGCTGTGAACCTGATCTCAAACTTACAGTAGAACTGTGGCTTACTTGCCCCTTTTAGCCACATTCCCAAGGGAATCCTACATTTGTTCTCTCTCCCTGGTCCTTTCCTCCTTCTTTATTTTCCACCTTAACCCATTTATGACCCCTCTGTACCCCCCCTCCCACCTCCACCTTTATCCTGACTCTCTTTCAGCTGCTTATGTATGCCCCACTCTTCTGCTATACCTACACCAGGCCCACACTAGGCCCCTCTCCATCTACCCCCATATTTTCATCTCTGGTCTTACATACCTCAACGCTTCGTCCTTTAGCTCCCCTCATCCCATACCTCATAACTAGAAAGTATTCTCAGAATGCTTGTACTATTGACTTTCTTGTTACACAGTTGCCTGCCATTAGCATCCCAACCGGGGGCGGACTGACCATTTGGAAACTCGGGCACTGCCCGAGGGCCCGGGGTCAGTAGGGGGCCCCATGAGATGCCCCTGGTACCTTTTTCATAGGCTTTTTTGAGTTTGGACAAGGACACAGGGGCCCCATGATCCCCTATTGCCTGGGGGCCCCATGAGTTGTCAGTCCGCCCCTGATCCCAACTCTTTTTCTTACTCATATGGTCATGACCAACAAAAGTAATGATAGAGGAAAGAGCATGAAGGATTTTAATTGCACTTTTAAAGAGCTTTTAAGTTCTTTAAAAATCCCAAAAGTCTCAAATTATGAATTTTGTGTATTCCGTACAAATACAGTTGCAAGAAAAAGTATGTGAACCCCTTGGGATTCCGTGGAGTTTTGCATGAATTGGGCATAAAATGTGCTCTGAACGTCATCTAAGTCACAACAATAGAAACACAGTCTGCTGAACATAATACTACACAAACATTAGATGTTGCCATGGTTTAATTGCACATAACATATAAACATTCACAGTGCAGGGAGGAAAAAGTATGTGAACCTTTGGACTTAATAACTGGTTGACCCTCCTTTGGCAGCAATAACCTCAACCAAACGTTTCCTGTAGTTGCAGATCAGACCTGCACAACGATCTGGAGTCATTTTGGACCACTCCTCTTTCACAAAACTGTTTCAGTGTAGCAATATTCTTGGGATGTCTGGTGTGAATCGCTCTCTTAAGGTCATGCCACAGCATTTCAATGGGGTTGAGGTCAGGACTCTGACTGGGCCACTCCAGAAGGCGTATTCTGTGCTGTTGCAGCCATTGTTTTGTTGAATTACTTGTATGCTTTGGGTCATTGTCCTGTTGCATCACCCATCCTCTGCGGAGCTTCAGTTGGCGGACAGATGGTCAAACGTTTTCCTGCAAAATGTCTTGATAAACTCTGGAATTCATTTTCCCATCAATGACAACAATCCGTCCAGGCCCTGAGGCAGCAAAGCAGCCCCAAACCATGATGCTCCCTCCGCCATGTTTCACAGTGGGGATGAGGTTTTGATGTTGGTGTGCTGGGCCTTTTTTTCTCCACACATAGTGTTGTGTGTTCTTCCCAAACAACTCAATCTTGGTGTCATCTGTCCTCAGTATATTTTGCCAGTAGTGCTGTGGAACATCCAGGTGCTCTTTTGCAAACTTCAAACGTGCTGCAATATTCTTTTTGGACAGCAATGGCTTCCTCCGTGGTGTCCTCCCATGTACTCGATTCTTGTTTCATGTTTTCCTTATTGTAGATGTGTCAACAAAAAATGTTAGCATGTGCCAGAGATTTCTGTAGGTCTTTAGCTGACACTCTGGGATTCTTCTTTACCTCATGCAGCATTCTGCGCTGTGCTCTTGCAGTCATTTTTACAGGACGACCACGCCTAGGGAGAGTAGCAACAGTGCTAAACTTTCTCCATTTGTAGACAGTCTGTCTTACCGTGGACACATGAACATCAAGGCTCAAGGAGATACTTTTGTAACCCTTTCCAGCTTCATGCAAGTCAACAATTCTTGATCGTAGGTCTTCTGAGAGCTCTTTTCTGTGAGGCATGGTTCACATCAGACAGTGCTTCTTGAAACCAGTAAACCCAAAACAGGTGTGTGTTTTTTAAGGGCAGGACAGCTGTCAGCAACACATCCAATATCATCCCACTGATTGGAGTCAAGGTTGGCTCACTCCTGGCTCCAATTAGCTCTGGGAGAAGTCATTAAGCTAGGGCCTCACATACTTTTTCCTCCCTGCACTGTGAATGTTTACATGTTATGTGCAATTAAACCATGGCAACATCTAATGTTTGTGTAGTATTATGTTCAGCAGACTGTGTTCTTCTGTTGTTGTGACTTAGATGACGTTCAGAGCACATTTTATGCCCAATTCATGCAAAACTCCACGGAATCCCAAGGGGTTCACATACTTTTTCTTGCAACTGTACTTACAGCAATCCTAAATGAAACAGATCTTGAACTGTGCCTCTTGTAGGAGCTTCCTGTAATACAGACTGCTCACTGCTGCCGGCTCTCTTTGTGCAGGGTGACTGGTCTTGTATCCACCCCCTCCTATAGTTTTCTGCAGGAAACCTGCAGTGGATGGACCCAGTAGGTTCTTCCCACAACTCTGGTCTTTGCACAATCTATGTACAGCCAGTCACTGCTATTTTATCAAGATAATATCTGGGTTAGTCATTACAAAGCTGTTTAATATAGTTGAGAAATAGGTTTAAACATTTTTATGCCCAGAGTTCTGAATGCCTCCCACCTTGTGTGGACATGATATATTTAGCACTTCTGTTATATCCACAGTTTATAGACTTTAAGTGGTATAAAGCTGCAGTGTTTTATAGCTTACTACATTGAGCACAATAAAATAAACATTACCCACCAGGGGCGGACTGACAACTCATGGGGCCCCTGGGCAATAGGGGATCATGGGGCCCCTGTGTCCTTGCCCAAACTCAAAAAAAGCCTATGAAAAAGGTACCAGGGGCATCTCATGGGCCCCCTACTGACCCTGGGCCCTCGGGCAGTGCCCGAGTTTCCAAATGGTCAGTCCGCCACTGTTACCCACTAAACTAATTGTTAACGTTCTTACCCCAGCACTTGCAGTTTAAAAATTTCAGTGCTGATGGCTTCTGCTCTCTTAGTGCTGCTTCCCTGAATTTCCTGTCTTCACAGGAAAGCGTTAACAGTGGACAGTGAAGTCTGGAGCCTGTCTTTTAGCTTGAAGATGGGAAGTGAGAGGAGAAGGAGAGTGCTTGCCTTCCTATTCTATGAGGCTGTGTGTTTCTATTGATGGACATAGTGTAGGAAGACTATCACGTACCTGGTTGGGGAGCCTGACGTGGAGAGAAGGCGTCTTCTTAAAACTCCCACACGGAGCCCCTGATAGTGGAACAGAGTGCGCAGAGCCAGGAGTGGCAGGAGTGCCATGTGAATCTGAAGCTGACAGCAGGTAGCTGGGGACCCATGAGATCCGGACACAGGCCAGGTGCGGGTGCAGGAACGTAGGTGCAGCAGCAAGCAGGTATGGCGGCAGTCAGGATGCGGATTGGGACCTGACACCGGTGCGTGGATGCAGTAGCAGGCAGGTATGGCGGTGATTCGGATGCAGACCAGATGCGGAACCGTGGGTGCAGCAGCAGGTAAGTATGATAGCCGACAGGATGCAAGCCAGGTGCAGGTAGGTCAATGTAGCAGAGTCAGACAAGCAGGGTCAGTATCAAGCGGGCAGATTAAGTACAAAGGAGCAGGCAAACAAATGGTCAGGGATAGCTGGGGTCGGTGCAGGCGGAGTTCTATCTTAGTCAGGTAAATCAGGATACAGGTATCAGGATCAGGAATATGTGCAGGAACATTGTAGACCAAAAGGCATTGATTTTACTATTGCGCAGGTTTAAATAGCCCGCCTGATGTGACGTGTGTGCTTACTGTTTTCCGCGCTACTGCGCATGTGCAGCCGCACGCTCCCGCGCCTGCGCACTCGCACCGCCGTGGCTCGGGGGGATCCATCGCTGTCGCTGTCGCACGGTGACAGGATCCCTGACAGAGACACAAGTCTAGTCTGTGCATTGAAGAGTGGCTCCATAGGATGCTGCAGAAGGGAGCCACCATGAAACTTGAAACCTGGGGCAGTGATCATGGCACCTGCTTAAACAGAAACATATAAAAGATTTAACAGGAAAAAAAGAAGCCGCATGCACAGTAAGTGATTAAATCAGCTGCTGAAAGTACTTAAAACTGATAAAGCCGCAATTCAACAAAGAAAGTTTATCTGTAAGGTTAAATTAATAAACCATTTAATGAAAATTGTATGAAATGAAGTGTATCTATGAGTTACATTGATATTTGAATAGCGCAGCTTCCTTTCTTTTATGTTACATTACAAAGGTTGCAAAGAAAAGGACAAGCATTAAAAAGCACTTTAATGGCAAAGCTATAGAGATTTTCCTTTTCCACCACATAAACGGTAAAGCCTATATAGATCATAAAACAGAGGTCAGTCATAAACCGTCATCTATAAGAGCTGCTTTATTCTCTTTACAAACACGTGCTTTGTTTCGCCCATGCTGTAGGCAATAAATCAAAGCCAAGGATGTCTTCTGTGGGTTATTTACGTGGGAGAAAATATAGTAGAGGACATTTCAACTCAGTTCTAGTGATGAAGACATGAGGCTTTCAATCAACGGAGCACATAAATGGGGTCATCTGACGCTTAATGTGGGGAGTCATAAACTCGAAAAGGTTGTAAATTATTGTACGAAGGCCATTTTCACTCTTTCAGTCAATATATTTTGTTGTTGGAGAGCTATGAAGGTTGTACAAGAGAAGAGTAGTGAAATATGGGGTTGATTTACTAAAACTGGAGAGTGCAAAATCTGGTGCAGCTCTGCATGGTAGCCAATCAGCTTCCAATTTCAGCTTTATTCAATTAAGGTTTGACGAAAACAACTGGACGCTGATTGTTTTTTGTGCACATCTGCACCAGATATTGCACTCTCCAGTTTTAATAAATCAACCCGTGTGTGTCCTGTACCTCTGTGACATTGTTGTGATAATAAATAACATAATATGCATCATCTGACTGAATACATTCAAAAATCAGAGTGAAGCTATGCATTGATATTAGGGCTCATTCTTCCCCTGATGTGTGTTTCAGAACCAGGTCAGAAAATTCATGTAGAAACATCAGGAATATGCTGCACTCCTGGATATCTTTGTTGTATGAAAATCACATCACAGGCATAGCAGAAACAATAAATGGTAACATGTCTCTCACTAAATACAGGGCTTACTGGTTTGAGTAAGTGCTGTATATAGTTTGAAACGCGTTACCTTTCATAGTTTCTGCAATGCCTGTGATGTGATTTTCATAGTACAACAAAGATATCCAGGAGTGCAGCAAATTCCTGACTTTCTGTTCCTAGATGGTCTCACAGATGAGCTATGCAGCACCCTTGAGCTAGATTCACAGCAAAATGGCTTTGACAGTTCAACTGGAATGGGACAAATCCTTCTCTATATCCCATTTCAGAAAATTCCCATTGACGTTAAGGCCCCAATCCAGGAAAAGGTTAAATTATCCCTTGCAGTGGGGTGCTCCTGCACTGCAAGTGTTCTGTTTAAGGCACTGCTTTATGTATTCACATACCTCCTTTAGACCTTGGTCCGTTAGCCAGTATGGTCAC